TTCAAAGCTAGCCAAAATTAATCTTAATGCTAATCAAAATTAATTTAATGCTAACCTGTTTAATAATTAGTAATTTTAAAATAAATTTAATTTGTTTATTTTATATAACTACATTACACAAAATTATAATAATAATCATAAAGTGATTATCACCTGAGGTAAAAATTAGTTAATTTCTTTAACGAAATTAAACTAGAATATTTTTGTTAAAAATGTTTTAATTTTATAATTTTTTAGATTTTTTATGAGTTTTTAAAACTGTACTACTAGTAGTACAAAGGGCATGCTGCTATCCATTAATTTAAGCCAGCGATCATGAATCAAAATTATCATTATTAGCTAAAAAATAGAAATATACATATTGATTAATATTAAAATGCAATTATCTAATCTAAAACAGCAATAAACATATATACCAGAATATTGATCTGTTGTATCGTCTGTATCATCATTTCCTCCACTTTGCCCACGATTGCGAAAATACCAAATTATTGATCCTAAAAGGATAGCAGCCAAAGATATAGCATATGGTATTAAATAATACCAATTAACAATTTCAGTTTCAGGTGGGAAAAGTGATATAATGACAACCAAAATTATTATTAAAAAGTAAATTATAACAATATATTTAGATATGTTAAAATTAACATTTGTTAGCCTTTTCATTATACTCTAAATAAAGTTATAAATCTATTTTAGCAAATTGATAAAACTAAAATAAATGATAAATTAGTTTAATTCAACTTACTAATAAACAAATTGCGCTAGCGCCATGAAATATCATTGATAAATATTGTGATGTGTCAGAGAAAAAATCAAAAGGATCACTTGAAATTATCGACAAACCCATCAAAACCATCAAAACCATTATGCAATATAAAAATTGTACTAATAATGCATTAGTTGGCGTATTGAACTTCTTATTATAATGGTTAAATATATTGAATCGTTCAGGTATAAATTTGGTTTCAGCGGCATATGTAATAATTCGTGCATAGCTATTGGGAATATTAAGAGCTTAATAAAATTGTATCTATTTTTCGAGATAATTTTGATAATCTTACGTGAAAACCATTGAGCCTACACTTCCAAAGGCAGAAATTGCAACAAGCGCTGACATAAGAATTTCACCAGTTTTGCCTCGCAGCTCTTTACCAAAACGTAGAGCAATTGGAGAACCTTTATCCTCAGTAATTATATTACGCCCAACTACTGTTATAAACGCAGCATTAGTGGAAAAGTCTGAACAATATGAATATTAGTTGTGTTAGAATAATGCATAAAATAATCTATAAAGCATAATAAAATCGAAATCTTACAAAGCAAAAGTGACACGCAAACACTTAAAAGGGATGAAAATTTCAGATTACTGTCTTTTGGTTCCCTTAACTCTTCAATTAAGTCTATAAAGGGAATTTTCGTCAATAACAAATTTGATCTAATTTAACAAATGTAACAAGTTTTCTTACAATTTATATCATTCCATCCTTGGATAAATATAATAAAAATATATAATTATTTAATCATTTTTCATCACAAACAATCAAAAGCTTACGATACCTTCATATGCGAATAAAACCTAAAATTTGAATTTATTTAATTTTTAGCCAATTGTTTAAAACTTTATAACATGTTATAAAATTTACCTTTATTATGGCATTGCCATAGGCTCCAAAATTAGGTGATGGTTTATTAAAAATATCAGTCCAATTAATAGAATATTTTCCTAAATTTACTAATCCAATTATAGAGATAACAAATAAAGCGATAATTTTAATAAAGGCTAACAATAGATTTATGGCGACGGAAAATCTGGTCGAGAGTGCGTGATATAAGGTGATGATTCCTAAAATTATAATCGACACAAACACGGCTTTATGAATTCAAATAATATATCTTAATTGAAATAATATACAGTTTTGTTAATAATTTAAAAAAATTTTGCTTACATGTAATCTTTGTTAACATAAACAACATTTCCTCGAAAAATGTAGAGAAAGTATTGGGCAGACATATAAGAGTCAGCTACTATAGCTCCGGGTAAAATGATACTTTTATATATATGAAAAAAAAACCAGATTATTATTTGCAAGTACATAAAAAGTACCAATTGAACTTATTTAAGATTTATATACATACAAAATTACAACAAAGCTAAATATGTGGCCCAAATTTTTATTTGGGAATGCATCGTCAATGTATTTTTGTTCGCCTATACCTTTTGGTAACGATATAATTCCCAGCTGTAAATAAGCAAAATTTAATAGTTTATAATCGTTATTTTTCAGGTGAGCTTTATTACAAGTTTTACCTCGATGTAGATTAAACTGCCTAGAAGACTAATAAAACCACAAACGACATAAAGCACCAAAGTAATTCCCGGTGACTGAACAAGTATCCATATACTATCAGAGTCGAAAATTCCTATTTAAAATAATAATAAATATCATTTATTGTTTAAAAGTTTTACGAAATTAATATGCAAATACAAACCTCCACCTATAATTCGATTAATATTAAATCCTGCTCCCGATAATATCCCTAAAATTTTCTTATCTTTG